CCTCTCGGTACGCGCATGCACAACGCAACTTATTTTTTTTTTTAATGGTATTTTTGATACCAAATTCGGATAAACTGAATTTTTTAAAGTAATTTTGACCAGTTAATCATGGCCCTAAAAGCAAAATTGACTGAATGAGAGCCATTCAAATTTTAATAAATAATATATTTTTACAATTCATTATTAAATACATAAAACCATTTAAATTATTTATTATTGGTTACTTTTTGAATATTTTTACGTATTTTTTTTTTACACGTCTTATAAATAAGATTAACATAATATGGATATAAAATTATAAAATTAAAATTGATTACAACTGTATACGTAAGGATATTCAAAAAGTAACCAATAATAAATAATTATAAATGATTTTATGCATTTTATAATAAATTGTAAAAATTTAGGTAGGTGCCTATTATTTATTAAAATTTGAATGGCTCTCACTCAGTTAATTTTGGTTTTAGAGTCATGGTTTATTGTTCAAAACAACTTAAAAAAATTCAGTCTATCCAAATTTGGTGTCAAAAATATCGGTTGCTATTAAATAAAAAAAAGTTGCGTTGAGACGCGCGTACTGAGAGGGTTAAAAATTTGAAATTTATCTGAAAATGTGTATTTATATACCACTAGTTTGTAAAAAAAAAATTCGATTTATTCCATGATAATCCGGCCGAAAAATGCAGTGTTCCCTAAATTGGTAAACACACAGTATATTAGAAGTTTATTATGTAGTATATTACAATTAAAATTTAAAAGACAAAATAACATTGCAAATTTTAATGTATTTGACACTTATATCTGATACCCTGTCCATGGTTGCTGCAAGCTGCAACAGCAGAAACTCAACATTCAAAAATAACATAAGCAAAGATGAAAGATCTAAACTGCTAAACTACGTATATTCGCTTATTATATCCATTTTAATATACATAATAATATGTCCTTTCCTCCTTTTTAACATATTTTTATAAATATAATATAGTTCAATAAATTTAAAGCATAAACATTTCAAAATAATTTATATTTATTAAGTAATTTAAATTATTTTAAACGGTTTTAGAAACATGTTTTTGTATTCTATGTAGGTAGGTACGTTGTACATTAAATAAATC